TAAAGTAAATTTATGCTTGCAATCTTACAGCTCTTCCATACAAAATCATATAATTCACTAAGAGAACTTGATGCATTTCTTTCTCACTGTGAGAACTCAGTAGCACAGAAGTCTTTCAAAGATCAGTGACAAATCGTATAAACTTTCTTTATAGATTATTGCTCAATACAAAAATTGTTTTAGTCTTACGTGGAAATTACTGATGTTACTGTTTTCTGATTACTGGAAGCGTTTGAAGCCCGCGGTGATCGATCATAAGATCTCTTTGCGTTAACCTAAACATTACTCTTCTTATCGACTGTCTCTCCCAAATTATAATTTTGAAAAAATGTGCAAAGTTTATAAATCATAAAAAAAAGTTGGAGTAATTTGTTAATAAGAATTAGCCTGTAATTGTCATACATTGAAATTTTCAGTTATTCTTACAAGTTTCTGTAATTCTTCTTGCCTACGGTCGCTGTTCGGCGAGTGAATGTGGTAAAAATTAAGGAACGTGCTGAAACCAACCTTTGTTTAGATTTGTTAAAGAGCAACAAGTAGTTTCTGTAACGTCAAAAAGGCTCTCCTGAACGATAACTTTTACCGTAAGTACCTTGACGTCCGTTCACTTCTGAACGCTTGTTGCGATATTCGTTTCCGAAACGACACTATACAAGGTTTCAAGCTGGTTTGCACTACTTTGGTGAAGAATACATAGAGAAACGGATTAGCAAATGCGTTAATGGGGTAAAAGAGCACGAGGAATATTTTTGCAACGCTGATGCTGATCAGTGGAGCACTCAACGAAGCTGTTATACCTAAATTAAATAATGCAGCATAAAACACTGAAGATCCTTCTTTCCTGATTTCTTAAATTGTTTATTTTCATGAACACTTTCTAACTTGCCATTCTTTAAATAATGATAAGAAATTTTGATTACATGCGATAAAGTATTGCAGTTATTTTGCGCTAGCTAATAAAACGGGAAAAAAGATAATCGCAAAAATCTTTTTCATAAGCAAATTAAGCTGCCATAAATATTGATTAGTTAAACAACTAATAAGCCATATCAATTGAAAAAAAAAAAGAATTAGAAACCGAAAAAAAGCGTCGGAAACCAGCAAAGCATGTCGGTAAAAATTAACAACGCCATTTTGACAATCACAATTTTGTCTTCAGGCCTTGACGGTTGCTCTGGATTCAATAGCATTTTAACTATCGATGCATAACATAATGCCATAGATATGAAAGCGAACAGATTGAAAAACAGTCCAAATACCAAAAAAACCTAAAAACACTTTTTAATATACTGTTACGGGTTTTGCACTGTTAATAGTCTTTGAGTGTATCAACTGATGAATTATCAATCTGATTGATCACCCTGATGTTTAAAGTTCTATGAAACAAGAAGCTTTTCAGCATTATATTATCGATGACTACCGACAAAATAATTTGTAAAGAAATAAATAATTAAGAATAAAAAATTATAAAAATTAGGATAGAATTCTGCTCTTACTCACTTTATCAGAAAATTTGTTGATGGTAAGCGGAAGACAAACACTGGTTCCAGTGTAAGAGGATAAGCCGTAAATAGGAAGCAATGCTAAAGTGAACGAAAATAAGTAGGCAATTCCAATGGATAAGTATGCAATCCTTCTTTTGAATCGCCGCCCGTAAAAAGCATATCTGAAAAAACTCATATGTCAGAAAATATTATTCATTTTTAATTGTAACTCTGCACTTTAAATTTTTTTCTAAAGCTTCATCTAAAAGGTAATTATTCTTAAACTACTTAAAAAACTTCTCTTCGATTGTTCATAAAATAGTCTAAAATCCGTCATGCGAAATTCTTTGCATTGCACTAGAGTGCAACAGGAGCAAAATAAAAAAGCCTTCCTAAACTGATAAAGGACTTTTGGCACACTTTTTTTTGGTTGACACAAAAGTGTTTGTTAGAATTAGCTGAAAAGCAATTACCTGACGTTAAACCACATCTCGAAAGCAATCAGAAACATCGACATTATTGAAAGTTCTGATGCAAAAACTGAAATAAATCCTGCAATTTTACATCCAATGCCAGTTTGCCACTCTACAGCATAATTGTAATATTCATCCGATGTTCGAACATCAACGACTGCTAGCATTCCCAAATATACACCTTTAAACATCTGGAAATTATGTCTCAGCCAAATCAAACCATGTAAAATTAATTTCTTTTATAAGCTTCAAGAACGAAGTTGTTGTGTAAATACCCTTTTAATCATAATTTTTGCACTTCTGCACCAAAAAAGTACAGATTAAAAACGAAATAGGAAATACGTTAAAAATTAGTGCAAAATCAGTTCCAAGAAGTGCTAAGCTTTTGTTGTAAAAGTATACAGAATAACGCAGAGCCGACATTTCTACCTGTCAGCAAATCTGCAGTTGAAAGATTTGCCATAAAAAAGTAATGAGTATGCATTCGATTCTGTTTTAAACTGAATAAAACCATCCAGACTCCTATGTTGCCTATAATAGCGGCTATCCAGATTAACCATATTGCGTAACGTAGAGGCTGATAGCTGTAACATTCAAAGTTATATCATAAACTTAATATCTTATATGCCTGCTTTATATCAAAACGCTTTACTGCTTTATTGAAAAGTTGTTAGTAATTAGCAGTTTAGAAATTTACCCAACTACATTTTCACATGGATTCAATGCGTCAGGTATTGGCGAACAATCAATTGAAGCGTAGAAGTTTCGAACAGCGTTTCTTGTACAATTGAAATGTAAAGTTGAACCAACTTCTGCATCTCCAAAAGCTGGTAAAAATTCCACCTGACTATCGTCAATCTAAAACTTCATTTATTAACGGTTCTTTACAGAGAAAACAACCAATGTTTAATTTAAAAAAAGTAATTTTACTTCAATTGTGTCATCTTCATCGCCAATCCCACCACTAATGTCAGAGTCTTTAAATATTTCAAAAACACTTTTCCAGTTTTCTGTGACTGGTTTACCGTAAGTATTAATATTTCGCTTTCTTCTTTTACTTGTTCTGTACGTTTGATAGTCACCACAGACTCGACTTTTAATACTTTCGATGTTTTCAAAATAATCGTTGCCGTTAGCCACAACTTCACGAATTGCATGCTAGAGATTATACAAATTCGCCATTATTTATCAAAAGAGTTAACTTTTAAAGAGAAAGAGAGAGAGAGAGAGAAAGAGAGAGAGAGAAAAAAAAAAGTTTTTTTTTTTGTCTGTTTGATAAACTTTAATTTACCAACTGGGAAACTTTTGCAACTGTCTCAGCATTTTCTAGAAATCAAAATGTTTACCTTAAAGAGGCAACAGTGATGCGCATAGGTAAATTTAACTTTTCTTAGCGCAGTGAATGCGAGAATTGGTGGCAACTTCTTCAATTCCTCTGCACCCTCCAAGATCAGTGTTTCCAGTTCCTTCAAACCATTGGATGGTAAAGAAGAAATTTTTGTACGCGATAAATCTCTGAAAAAGTTATGCTAACGTTGTCATCAAACAATCAAGTTTTATAAAGTTATAAAAGCATAAAAAGCAAAAAAAAAAATCGAATTTAAGCTGACTTACAGTTTACGCAAAAAAGTTATTCCAGTAAAAGCGTTGTCATCTAAGCTCTCCAATTCTGTGTTATCGCTTATATCTCTAAATAGAACAACCAATTGAGCAATATGATGTATTACCAGACAACGTATATTTCAACTTTCACTGCAAGTAACTGTCAACATTTCTATGTTTAGCATTATTTGAGGTCTCCTGTTTAGCTACAATATAAAAACAAATCTAGTAAGCTCTAAAAACTATCAATATGCATAATTTTTAGCGTATAATATTGTTATTTAAATTTTATCGACAAATTTCATTAAGAAATTTGCTGAAACCTACAGCTTGACAAATTTACAATTTGTGAACACATTTCTGGCAATGTTTTTCAGCTGGTTTCCTTTCAAAATTACATTAACCGCATTGATAGACTGAAAATTGTTTTCTTTTAGCTGCTTAATTTTATTGTTTGCAAAGCTGATTTCTTCAATAGTATCATGTTCACTGGTCATCCGAAGCACCGGCACATCAATCAAAGCGTTATTTTCGAAACTTCTATAAGATTTTATTAGTTTTTAATTAGTATTGTTTATCATAAGTAATAGCATAAAATTATTTGCTGTTGCAGTTTCTGTATTTACTGTAAAACTTACAAGGAGAATAATTTTGTGT